GGATAGGGTGTTACACCTGTACTAACTCAAGTTCTTCCTTAAATCAAGCCTTGCAGAGGTTTCATTAATTTGGATTGTGTTTTTTTTCTTTGTCTTCGCAAGGAGCCAGTGAAACCAGAGGAAGGGAGAGACATGGCAAACAGGATCAATGCTTTTGGCTACCTTGAGTGCTCAGCCAAGACGAAGGACGGCGTGCGGGAAGTGTTCGAAATGGCAACTCGAGCCGCCTTGCAAGTCAGGAAGAACAAAAAGCGCAAAGGTTGCCCCCTCCTGTAAAAGGGGCACATTGGCAGATGATGTGACTGTGCTGTCTGAAGTGTATCTTTCCCTTTCTATGCACCCCACATATGGGGTCAAGATGGAGAAGTGGAGCTATTAGCTCTATCTAGAATAAAAAATTTAACATGCTGGCTATGTCCTTCATCCCTCTGCACAGTAAACTTCCTGGGATACACAATATAGGCATCTACACGGTCTCTTCCTGTGTTGCATGCCCAGGCTGCCTTTTCCAGCTCTCTCATGGGCCAGAGGTGTCTTTCTGAATCCTCCTTATAAACAATGTCCTTTTTGTATTGGGCAGGCAGTGTACTTGAACTAACTCTGTATTGTTCTTTGCTCCCATTTTTTACTAATCCTACTCTTCAGTGCTTTGTACAGATTCACCAGTGCTTACCCTTGTGTCTTCCTGTTCTTACATATTACGGAAGCTAAATTTCTGAATATTGCAATCGGAGAATGTGGAGCCTGCCTCTGGTTTACAAATGGATGCACTGGCTTCTCTCCACAAATGTGCTAAAGCAAGCGGGTTAAGTCTTGCCAAAATGGCCTCCTGTATTTGCATTAAGGAGCTGCGCTCTGTAGTGGTCAGAAATAATCTTTGCTTCTCTTTGGAGCAGCAGTGCCTTGTTTTTGGCAATACTGTATTCTCACTTCATTAAATTAATTCAAACTTGAGCTCGACTCTTTTGTTGCGGATGCTGTATGGCTGTCCATCTGCACACTGAACTGTATGAAGCTGTGTTGATTCTGCTGAGCATCACAAGGGCAGCCAACCTGTGTTGGAAGTTTCTCAGCTGCTTCATCGTATCTGTCTTGGTACCTTCTCCCTCACAATTCCATAAAGTGTAGCAGCTCAGCTCCTTATCTTTCGGCAAATCTATTAATACAAGGGTATTGGTGGGTATTAGGACGCGGGTGGCGCTGTCGGTTAAACCACAGAGCCTAGGACTTGCCGATCAGAAGGTCAGCGGTTCGAATCCCGTGACAGGGTGAGTTCCCATTGCTTGGTCCCTGCTCCTGCCAACCTAGCAGTTCAAAAGCATGTCAAAGTACAAGTAGATAAATAGGTACTGCTCCGGCAGGAAAGTAAATGGCATTTCCATGCGCTGCTCTGGTTCGCCAGAAGTGGCTTAGTCATGCAGGCCACATGACCCGGAAGCTGTACGCCAGCTCCATTGGCCAATAAAGCAAGATGAGTGCCACAACCCCAGAGTCATCCGCGACTGGACCTAATGGTCAGGGGACCTTTTACCTTTATTGGTGGATATTTGGAATCCCAAGGTCATAGAATGATGACCTGCTTCACTTCAGAGTCCAGATAGTTGGACTATTTTTTAAAAAAGTAGGTGGAAAGCTAGCAGAGCAGGGGGGAAGGTGTTCCATTTAAGCTCTTTTCCCAGTGCTGTGTTACAAACTGATATAAAAGGTAGGAGCTAAATGGCACCTTAAACAGAGGTTATAGGCGCAACAACAGAATGTCTAGGCACACTTTTTTAGTAACAAGAATACAAAGCTGAAAGTGAATGAACTGCAGCTAAAATGTTCATTTTTCACATGTCTAGTCCTTGTGCTTCCCACTCCCCTAATATTCTTAAGAGGGTCTCTTCTCCAGTCTTTCATAGAGTAGTGGGGAGGCAGAAAAGGGTCCTCCTTTCCTTCCACTCTGCAGTTTTAATCTGAAATCTTTGAGCCCAGAGCTCAGAAACTGCTCACACTAATGAAATTCCCTGTCGCAAAATGCGCCTAGAACAATGGGAGTTTCAAACACTGGATAGGAGATTGCCCTGGACTCCCATGTGTACCACCTTCCATTGGGGAAAAAGGGAGGCTAGAAACTTACTACACTTTCTAAACATGTAAAGACTTTTTTAAAAATTAAAAGCGATCAGTCCTGTGATGTGACACCATGGGGCAGCCTCTTCTGATAGTGGCGGGCGGACAACTCTTTTATCACCTCACTACAACTGCTTTGTTTCTCATGTAGCCTGACCTTGTGCATTCAGAGTGAGCGATTCTGTGGTTCACAGGTAAGAAGGGAGGAGCAAGAAGCAAATAGCAATAAGAATGAAGCATTGGTGGGAACATGGAAGTGGTTTTTTTTTCCCCCCAACACAAAAGGTGAGAAAGTTGGCAGGGTTATCCTATTTTAACAGCTTTGTCCCCCTGGCCTCCTAACCCCTACTGCTAAATAAAACAGTGGCCAGATTCTTTTTGCAGATAGAAAAAGCAGGCTCTGGGGAGAAGATGTGGGAGAAACGATTGATTTTATACACGTCAACTCAAGTGCATTTTATACCTCTTGTCATGGGACAGGAACCCCCTTCATTAGCAACCCTCAAATACTATTGAGCATGTAACTGTAGATGGTGCCATCTGGTGGATGAATTTTGTGTTGCTTGAGAACAGCAATGGCATTCTCTTCTTGTTTTTAAATCCTGATCCGAGAGAGACGGCACTAGGACTTTATATTTTCAAAATACGATTTTCCTAACTAACTGAAAACTCCTCATGGGTTCTCTTGCCGTAACACAATAGGCTTCCAAAATCCATTGCTGTGGAACAAGCAATGCATTACTGCCTTTTAAAATGCCTTGCCTATGTTTACAGAAGATAAACCAAGTTATCTGTCTCTATGGGCATTAATGCAACAATATGTAATTTTAAAAGTAGAAAACAATCTATTGTAACACTTCCTTGCTTTGCACACTGCTGTACTCCCAAGTGCTACAGATCACTCGTGTTTAATTTAATAGACTTGAAACTTGCCAAACATAGCTTCCCATAAACCATTTTTTTTAGCTTGCACATTCCTAGCAAGAGTCAGTACAGCAATGGTGGTCTCAGCATCAGAGTCCCAACATCCACTCAGCCACAAAGCTCCCCTTTAGGCCAGTTGCTATCTCTCAGTCTAATTTGTCGCACAGGTTTGCTGGGAGGATAAAATTGAGATAGAGAGAACCATGTGCCTTGCCTTGAGCTCCCTGAAGGAATGAGCTGGGTTGTCTATAAAGGTAAAGGACCCCTGGACGGTTAAGTTCAGTCAAAGGTGACTATGGGGTTGTGGCGCTCCTCTCGCTTTCAGGCCGAGGGAGCCGCCGTTTGTCCACAGACAGCTTTCTGGGTCATATGGCCAGCATGACTAAACCACTTCTGGTGCAACGGGACACCATGATGGAAACCAGAGCGCATGGAAACACCGTTTACCTTCCCGCCACAGCGGTACTTATTTTTTTTATTTGCACTGGTGTGCTTTCGAACTGCTAGGTTGGCAGGAGCTGGGACAGAGCAACGGGAGCCCACTCCATTGCGGGCATTCGAAACAACCGACCTTCTGATCAGCAAGCCCAAGAGGCTCAGTGGTTTAGACCACAGTGAAACTAAGGCTGCAGCCCTAAGCCTTTATCTCAGAGTAAGCCCCACTGAATTCAGTAGGCCTTACTTCTGAGTAGACATTCTTAGGATTGCAGCTTCAGCCAGTTTGGCTGGCCTCTTTAGGCAAGGTGAGGCAACAGATAAGACCAAGTTCCTTGCATTTTGCTACTGTAAGATGGAGCTCTGCGAGCAGGATCCTCTCACTTTGGTGCATAGAGAAGACTTGGAGAGGAAAATGTCATGGGTGGGAAGCCGTGGGCCTCCAGATGCTTGCTGGAGTACCACTAGCAGCCCTGACCATGCTACTGGTTTGTAATGGGTCACAGCTGTTCTGGATGTAAACTTGATTCTACTTTTGTACTCTGAAATTACCAATTATGGCAGCAGTTCACGATCCAAGAAAAGGAATTGCATATGTGCCGCCAGCACCAACAGCAGTAAGACTACACTAGAAGGAAAGAAAACAGCCACAACCTTTAGGGAATTCTTCCTCAAGTAGGACTTCTGAGAGTTTACAGCTCTCCACAGAGCTGCACCACTTTGGTTATCCCCTAGTTGCAAATTCATTGTCAGTATTTATGGCCACCGTTGTGCCAGGAACTGCAGAAGAAACCAACGTTCTTACTCTTCTGTTTACTTCAGAGGCAGGCAAAGAGCCAAACATTGCTGCTCCAATCTGCGAACTGTACCAGCTGCTCCCTTAACATGCAGATCTCCAAAGGCTTTGTGAATAATAGTTGCTATTTGTACCATTCACAGCGTCATCTCCTCAGCAGGCAGAAATAAAAAAATGACACAATGGCAATAAAGCAGAATCTTGCCCCAGGGGAGGAAGAATGTCACTTTAGCTGAGCAGTGTTTTGAGATTAGCTTTTACTTATCCATGGGGTGAGAAAGAAAAAAGCACGTTTTCCAACTCCTGCAAGAAACGGACCTCTGTTTGTGTAAATTACAGCATAACATCCTTCTACAATACATGTTGCTGCAGGAAAGTTATTTCTCCAAGGGGTTAAGTTTTATTTCCCTCTCAATACTCAAACATGGGGTAATCCAATACTTTAGTTGCTGGAGATTCCAGATTCCAGCAGGCTGCATCAGAGGCAGAAGTTAGGAAAAGAGCATAACACAGGTGCAGGCTAAACTGAATTCCTTGCATACACCGTTGTGACTCTGATCCAGACAGAGCCACAACAAGTTTTTTGTTTTGTATTTTGAAATTTAGAATAATGTGTACTTGACCTACTCTCCTTCTGCCCCTGTTCTCTCTTTTTTCCATCAGTACTACAACAGGAAGGTGGGTGGAAAGGGAAAGCAGGGCAGTGTCTCATTCAATAACATAATACACGTTGTAAATTCTAGAAGCTTTAATGACAATCCAGTAGAAAAAACACCTGATAAAATCTGATACAGTCTTGGAAATGGGAAGGGCTTAAGAGTTAAGGTTCATCTTCCCCCTGGTCCCCCCAAAACTATTTCATGATAAACTTTAAATGCAGCTCGAAATAGAAATCTAGCTGTCAGTCTCTGAACCGCAAAAAGGGAGGGGGGGGGTTTCCTCCTGCCAGTTTCAAAAGGAGAGGTTAAGCCTCTGCACTCAGTGCCATTCCCCAGTCTTTTCTTATTTCTGATTGCTTTATAATCCAGCACATCTGCGTTTCAAACTAATACCAGTCTTTTCTCATATACCGCTGGACACAAAAGGAAGGAATGCAGAGAAGTCTTGCACAACAAGAAAGTGAATTTGCACTGCATTAGGTGGATGCAGGTAACTGCACACTGCATTCCCTCTTGCACAAGTAGGATTTCTTTATAAAATTCTGGCTTTAACCCCCTGAGATAAATAGTAATAGGGAGCTCAAACATGATTCATTTATAGCTGGGCCATCATCTGCTTTTTCAGTATGTAAACAGGAGAAATAACTTATTCAAGAATGCAGGCTGCAGTAGCAGTACCAAGATTTAAGACAGTACAGGTCCTCAGCGCTCATGTGGCCATTCTGGGTCCGCTTGCTGCTGGAGGTGACTCACACCAGAACTGTTGCCTGCAGAGAAGGAAAACCAGATGAAGAGGTGAAGAGCAAAAGAAAGCGCTTCCTTAGTTTGCCCTTGCTTCCAAATTGAGCTGACATGCTCCAGTGCTGCCAATTTATTGGTGGGGAATATGTTATAGCAGACGGACCTGTGCTGCATTGTGAGCACTTGCCAAGCTCCAGCTGCCATGACTTTCCTCTGCGCTCAAGCATCCATCACCTTGACAATGTGCAGCCCCTTGCACTGACAAGGCAGCCTTCAGGGGTACTTAAAAGACAGGCACTTCTTTAAAATACACAGGACTTTGTCCAACAAAAATCATTTATGCTATGTTATTTTGCAATCCTTATTCATCAAAATATATGAAGTGAGTTGCAGCGAAAGTCCACATTTGTGTGTGTGTGTGTGTGTGTGTGTGTGTTTGTGTTTAGAAAGCAGGATTTCTAAACAATCAACCCCCCCAAAAAAAAAATCTGGATGAAAATTGATGTTGAGCCCTTGCAGAAAATGTGCAAAAATAAAATAAAATTGAACATTGGCTTTCGTCAAATGGGTTCATGGCTGGGAAAAAATGCTGATCTTTCTCTTTTTAAATAAAGCTGGGAGGTAGAAAGGGTGGCTTTTGCAGCCCTATCCATTGTACAGCACACAGGAAATGAAAAAAAATACAGGCATGGAAGTATTTCATCAAGATTCAGATGGTTGCACTTATTTTGGTAACTGCTCATCCGCTCTCCAAGTCACAGACAGAACCCAGCAGAGAATTACTGGAACTGTCAACTGAGCAGCCTCCTTGGACTGCCCCAACTCTGATAAGGCTTTTCTGGTTACTTGCTATGCATTTAGGATTACTATACATCCAAGAAATAACTGGAGTCCAATTTAGGTCACTCTAGCCTCTTACCTTCTGGCTGCTCATTCAAGGAGAGAGAAGCGAGTTCTACCAGCACGTCATCCTCTTCATTCTCTTCTGCCTCATACCAATATCCTCGGCATGCATTATTGTCCTTGCAATACTTGAGAAACCTAGGGGCGCCAATAAAATAGTAGTGTTAATGCCACCAGCCTGACCCATGAGCTTTAGAGGAAGTCAGAATAATTTTAAAAGGATATATTTGCGCTAAAGCAGAATAGCCGAGGGGATTCTTGTTCAGACGTAGCTCTGCTGCCTGAAATGGCTCAAGTCCTAATTCTCAAGTAACCACTGGCTATGAAGTATATTTCAACATCAGTTCTTGCTTAAGGGTGTGCTGTGATTAGAATCGCATGTCCCCAGGACAGGGAGCCACAGAGGTAAGCGCCTACTTTGCAACCACAAGATCCCATGTTTAGTTCCTGGCATTTCAAATACCTGGGCTGGAAAAGATTTTACATCGAGGTCTTGGTAAGCTGAAGCCAGTCAGAGTAGACAACACCAGGCTATATGAACCAAAAGTCTGATTCAAGATATGGCACATTCATGTTCATACATAAAGAACCAAAGGTCTATATAAATGCAACACCTTGACAGAGGCAGGATGCCCTGTCTATTCGCCCAGGGTACAGGCACAACTCTCTGCAGTCTGGATCACAATGCACCACTGTTAGAAAGCGAGAGGGAGGTGCTGGCAGAACCAAGGGCTCTGGGGTAACTCACTTCAGTTAGCCAAGCCACACAATACAACATTACACAATAGCTGCTGCATGGCCCACACATTAAGGAGAAACATCAAGGCTATGGGGTGAATTTGTTGCTACTGCCGGCAGGGTTTTGGTCCAAGAATGGTCATAAATGCACGGGTCAATAGCTGCACAGATGGAGCACCACATGCAGGCCAATCAACACAAAGTCTCATGGAATCATCAGGAAATCCTTAGCTCTGCTTGCTCAAACCACAAAGGAACAAAGGGAGGGAAGACTGGGCTGAAATGGCTGAGGGGGGATGATGGACCGCCTCTCCTGGTATGCCCCACAGAGGACCGTAAGGTCCATGAATACCTATAGTTTAGAGGTCCCGGGCCCTAAGGAAGTCAGACTATCCTCCACCAGGGCCAGGGCCATTTCAGTGATGGCTCCAACCTGGTGCAATGCTCTGTCCCATGAGACTAGGGCCCTTCAGGATTTAACCTCCTTCCGTCGGGCCTGGAAGACAGAGCTATTCCACCTGGCCTTTAATTTGAACTCAGCCTGATCTTTTATTTCCCTTCTCTTCCCTCCCCCTCCCCTTTTATGAAGATTACCCGCTCTGAGACCCCACAACTAATTCTCCCCTGGCTTCCTCGCTGGCCCAAGTAGGACCAATTCAGCCAACTAGCCCTAGGGATTATCTAATGCTTAAAGGTAAAGGGACCCCTGACCATTAGGTCCAGTCATGGCCGACTCTGGGGTTGCGGCGCTCATCTTGCTTTATTGGCCGAGGGAGCAGGCGTACAGCTTCCGGGTCATGTGGCCAGCATGACTAAGCTGCTTCTGGCGAACCAGAGCAGCGCACGGAAACACCGTTTACCTTCCCACCGGAGTGGTACCTATTTATCTACTTGCACTTTGACGTGCTTTCGAACTGCTAGGTTGGCAGGAGCTGGGACCGAGCAACAGGAGCTCACCCCATCATGGGGATTCGAACCGCCGACCTTCCGATCGGTAAATCCTAGGCTCTGTGGTTTAACCCACAGCACCACCCGCATCGTCTAATGCTTATTTCTCCTAAATTGATTTCTGAATTTTGAATTTTATTGTTATTCATGTTTTTTATACTGTATTTTATGCTGCTTTTACAATTAAGTGTTTTAAATTTGTTGTTAGTTGCCCTGAGCCCAGTTTTTGAACCGGGAAGGGCAGGGTATAAATAAAAAAATATTATTATTATTATTATTAGAGGGTGTAGGAACTGGAGGGCAACACTTACTCGCTCCAGCATTGATCCTTCATGAGAGTAGCCGGATTTCCTACAATAATCAAGAGTGCCTTGGCTCTTGTAATGGCCACATTGAAGCGCTGAAAGTGGAGAGAGTAAAAAGAAGAAAAATTAATCCACCTGGCCTGGCAGTAAGTGATGATGCCATTCAGAAACACACTATGACCAAGCCAAGCCACAAATACTGCTTCTCTTGCAATCTCTGGAGGGGAGGAACACAGGTGTAGTGTGTTCTGGACCTGCCCTGGATCCCAAAGGAAAGGCGACAAGGGCCTTTCTGAAGATTATAGGATGATGTGCCCAGATTTGTACCTTGGGGTTCTGAAGGAAGCCTATACTGAACTCCTCATCTATATTGAAGTAATTGCTGCTGCTGCGCACTGTTGAGATGAGCACCACACGCCGCTCCTGGCCCTGGAACTCTTCAACACAGCCAACCTGGAGGGAGAGAAGAAGAATAGCCAGATAACAAGGATTAGGAAAATAAATCTTCAAATCCCAAACTCAGGAAAGACAAGCAGCTTAGCTGGGGGCCTTCTTCCTCCTGGTACTGAGATGCTTGATCCTGCTGCCCTCCAAATGTTGCAGGACAACCGCTCCCATAAACATAGATAATTGGCAATGCTGTAGTTCTAAGTCAATCACCATCTGGAGGGCATCTTCAGGAAGGCTGAGGAAAACTCCTGCCTGAAAGCCAATCAGCGTAGACCAGGGTATTCCAATCTTGAGTCTCTAGCTGCTTTTGGACTACAATTTCCATCATCCCTGACCACTGGTTCTGCTAGCTAGGGATGTAGTCCAATAACAGCTGGAGAGCCAAATTTGGAAGGCCCTGGTGTAAACAATACTGAGTTAGATGAACCAATAGTCAGATTCCATATAAATTCCACACTGAGAGCCAGTGTGGTGTAGTGGTTAAGAGCGGTATTCACGTAATCTGGGTAACCGGGTTCGCGTCTCCGCTCCTCCACATGCAGCTGCTGGGTGACCTTGGGCCAGTCACACTTCTGTGAAGTCTCTCAGCCCCACTCACCTCACAGAGTGTTTGTTGTGGGGGAGGAAGGGAAAGGAGAATGTTAGCCGCTTTGAGACTCCTGAAGGGGAGTGAAAGGCGGGATATCAAATCCAAACTCTTCTTCTTCTTCTAAAGCAACTTATTGTGTTTCTGTCCTTGATGCAGTGCTTACTCTGTTCCCACAGCACTGTGATGTAAGAAGGCATACTTCATCATACAAAACCTCACTTGGAAACTTTTTTGGACCATATGATTAGCCACTGCTGGACACACAAGTAGCAGAACAGATGCATTTTTGGTTGGGTGCAACAAAGCTATTCTTATTTAAGTAGCACCACGTCTGATGTGGAAACATATCCAAACCATTTCTCCCTTGGCACGACTGGCAGGAAAACTTAAGTCTCACCTTTAGTTCCTTGATATCATTCACACCCTTTAGTTCCAGACCAATGGCTTTTCTTATCTTCTCCACCTGGGAGAGAAAAGCAAAACCAGTTATTCGTGCACCCCCTCATTCTTATTGTCCGATTCAGTTTCTAGCAAGCAAGAATGCTGCACGTCTGCTGTCTAATGCCCTCAACAAATGGATGAATTCCTTTGGGCCACTAAATAGGGATGGTGGCTTCAGAAATCTTCCCTGCCGCAAATGGGCAGGGTAGCCTTTAATTCTCTGTTGATGCAGTGGGAGTAACTGGTCTGATATTCCTGGTAGAGATGATGGGAGTGGTGCAGGAAGGATTCAGACCCTGGGCAAAGGCTATACTATATTGGCCCTGCAGTCACTGCTACCTTTAGCAGAAATCCAGGACACGATGGAGCCTTGAGGTTACACAGCACAACTATTCACAGCATCCACATGGAGAATGCAAGACATAGCCTGGGCCACACATGACTAGCTGCAACCACCCAAAACTGCCACACCACATTTTTAGCTGCTCCAACCGTAACAGCCATGGCATCTGTCTACAGCAGAGTGCATCTTCCCACTGACCACATGCATGCATATAACTAGGTGCAACCACATAAGTTGGAGAACAACTTGGCCAGTGAAGAGGCTCCAAGTTTCCATGACTCCTGGAAGGGAATCTTGTTCAGTGAGCTGGGACCAACAGAAGATCTCACCTGCTTCCTGTATGGAGTGATGACTCCAATGTCTTTGGAGGAAATGCGAGACATGCCTTTCTTGCCCTGCTCCTCCAGGAGCAGTTTTTTGAGGTAGTCAGTCAGCACTTTAACCTCGGCCGTGTTGAAAAACGAAGGGCTGTTCCCTTCACGCTGGTCTTCCCCGCAGACTCCGTGAAAGATGATGGGAAACCCCTGGAAGGAGAAAGCACGCCGACTCAGCTGTGCTCATGCCTATGGCAGAATTCCCAGGTGCCTACCGCTCCTCACCTGCTTCACCAGCTCCTTCCATTTGCAGTAGGACTCAGTGATGAGGGGGTCGCCATGCTCCTGCAGCTCCCCATCATAGAACTTATCATTGGGGAACTTGAGGATGGCAGCATGGGACCTGGGGGGCAAGGAAGACCATACTTTAGCACAAACAAGATCCTCTGGACTGTGGCAAGTCGCTTTCCTCTTATGCTCATAATAATGCAATGCCGCATTACACAAAACGGGCCCACTGATGCTGTAGCAGCATTCGATCCTTTTCACTTAGATACAAATGGTAAATGGGCGGCCTCCATGCCATGGCATTTGTAAATAACTTTCACAAGTTGGCAGGAGCTGAGTGTGTGAAGGTAAGCGAGTGCTTTTCTTTTTAGGAAATGGGCCAAGAGGCTGTGGGAGAGGCAAAACTTGCCTGTGTGTGAAGGCCATCCCTCTGAAAAGGAAAGGGTAGTAGTAGTTGTAAAACACGACATTTACAGACTGCAATTTGTAAAAATGTTTTAGATGTCGCTATTCTTTGAAGGCAGTGGCTTCCTTCCATGAAATGGGTCTATAAACCTCTGGGATGCAGACCTGAATCTCTCATTCCAGTCCCTAGTTCAAGTCACTCTTCTGATATCTTACCCTCAAGTAAAATAAACATTTTGTCTGTGTTTTAGGGCAAGAAGATCGTTGTTTAACAGTAACTGGCAATCTTCCTGCATTAGTATAAAACATTGGCTGGCCCCCACTTCTGCTATAGTCTCTTAAGAAGCTGGCCCAGTCCACTTATCAACCTGAATTGGGAAGACAGAACCCAGGAATACCACTCAAGTCAACCTAATGTAACCTGTGTTACATTAAATAGGCAAGATCCATACAGACACACTTGTGCGCCACCTGCTGGAATCCTGAGGCAGAGCGGTGAATGTACCTGTAGTTACGCAGCAGCTTAGTGACAAACTGTGGATTGTAGCTCCCATCCTTCTTTTCGTACAGTGAGTTTTCATGCATCAGCCGCTCCAGCAGGGAAAGTCCTATAAGAGCCGAGATGCTGCTCAGAGCTTCCAAATGAATGCAAGGGACGGGGGCTGGGAACTCTCTTATCTTTTTCTAAACCCTTTTTCAGAACAGCGTTAAGGCTCAATTCATGCTCCTGTCCTGTAGCACAGTTGATGCTAAGACCAAGAACGATGCGGGTGCAACCTCAAGAGGGGCAAGCCATTTATGTGAAGAAAGCTCACATAATTTGAGTCAACTTGCAAAAATCTCTCGTTTTCAGAGTGTTGTGTTTATGCACTTAACACAATTGCCAGCTGTATGGTGCAGTTTTGCAGAAACAGCTCAAGAAGCACCGAGGAAGCTGCTTCATACTGAGCCTGGACCAAGGGTCCATGTAGCTCAGCACCGTCTACACTGATTGGCAGCAGCTCTCCCACATTTCAGGCAAGCGGCTTTCCCAGCCCTAATCTGGAGATGCCAAGGATTGAACCTGGAACCTTCTGCAGGCAACCCCCATTCTCTTATCACTGAGCCTTGGTTCTTCCTCAACTTGCCACATGGGTTGCATCCGCTGCAACAACTATTGCTGGCATTGCATGAATCGAGCCTAGAAGCAGACTGTTCAACAAGGGAGGAGTCTGCACAGAGACTCCTTTGGTCGAATCAACCACTGCCCACTTAAAAACCCACTAGGAAGATTTCAGCACAGAGCTCAAATGATTTATGCTCCTCCTCCTCCTCCCAACCTTAAGAACAGATACCTCAACTTGCATGAAATGCCACGCAAAGCAAAATAAAATAAAATACATGTCAGTGGGTTTTTAAAAAATTGCTACCTGCTCCTTACTCACCTAAGCCATGCTCCTTAGCCAGAGGAGACCTCAGGATTGGTCCCAGTTGCTGGGGATCACCTGCCAAAACCAGCTGACCTCCTTTAGCATTAGTCCTTGGGTCCATCATGGCTAGGATGCCTAAAGGAAGAGGAGAAAAAGACAGGGCTCTAGCCAGTTGCTCAGACTAGTCCGTAACCAGAGTCCTGGGGCTTGAACGTTAATCTGCTTTCCCCTAAAGCAGAATAAAGCTTAGAACTACAGAACTGACTAGACCTGGAATGTGTTTTGGGAAAGGCAGCCTGATCATCAACAGCGGAAGCAAATAGAGAAAGCAAACAAGATAAGCTAAATGCTGTTTAAAATGAGTGAAGGACGTTTTAGGGAGAAACATTTCGATTCAGGGCCTTCCGGAACTCTGGGGGTTGAACATAGTGAAACATGCTAGCGAGAGCATACATGACAAGGCAACTGCCCCACAATGAACCCTGTCAGTTTAGTGAATAAAATGAAAGTTTGCATTCTGTTCCATTAAAAACCAGCATGTTAAAAAAAAAAAGTTTCCCACAGAAATGACAATCCTTTTCAGGGTAGAAAACGCACCTGCAATGGCAATCAGGCTCTGAGGTTCCTCAGCATGACCACTCTCATCGATGAAGACGTGAGTAAAGTGTCCCGGAGGGAACTGAGCATAGACCACCCTAGCCAGGAGAAACAAAAGGGAGCACAGGGAGGATATCTGACTACCCAGCTAGAGGACAACCACATCAAGTGGCCGTTTAACAGAGGAGTCACATGGAAGATGGAGGAAGAAGCTTGTTTTCTGATGTCCCAGAGGGTAGGAACAGAATCAGTGGATTCAAATTGAAAGGAGATTCCGAATAAACATTAGGAAGAACTTTCTGATGGCAGGAGCCAGTGGAATGGACTGCCTTGGAAAGTGGACTCTCCTCCTGGAGGTTGTTAAGCAGAGGTTGGATGGCCATCTGTCACCGATTCTTTAGCTGTGATTCCTGCACTGCAGGGCAGACTAGATGACCCTTGGTGTACCTTCCAAGTCTGTGATTCTATGTAACATGGCTGCCACCAAAAATGCCATTTCTGTTTGGGTCTGGATTCCATTCACATGGTGGCAAACAGCAATTATGTGGCGTCCTGAGTACTAAACCAGGGCCTTCAGTAGCAGCTGTGTCACTATGGTCTTAACTCTTCTTTTAGGTTTCACAGATAGCAATGTAACATGCCCAGAAGAAAGGACTGTGCTTCAGATGTCTTGGTGAATTGCATCAACTGACAACTAAAACATTTTCTCTCAAAAATAGCTAATAAAGACCATCTTGGCTGTGAGTCCTGGAATACCTGCTCCCTTCCTTGCAGACCATTTCCACCTGGCCTGGGAGGGCAAAGTCCTGACTTACACCAGCTGCAATATCTGAGGGCTGCTATTGATTATTTTTTCTATCTTTATTTTAGATCTTATTATGATTCATGTGGAAATGTGGTTGTGTATTTTTCAATGTTTTATTTATTGCTTAGGACTACTTTATGCTTGTAATTGTGTAACTTTTTTATGTTGTACGCGGCCTTGAGCATGGTTTTAACTAAGGAAAGGCAGAACACAGATAAAATGATGCATTTTGTTTATGTATTCCATCTCCTTCAGTGGTGACTGGCAAAGAGAATGTGAAAGGGTTTATTTAAAATTTTGTGGCAACAATAGTAACAAAACAGTTTTCCATCTAAACATATTATGTCTTCCCCACTACATATGCAAACACATACAGTTTTTCACTTCTCACCTATTCTCATTTGTCATTTTTGAATGATATCTGAGCCTTCTTACCTTCCTGCTGTTATCAGGGTGGTGATGATCACTCCGTAGTTTTCTAGAATCTCCCTGCTAGGAAAGACGGGAGAATCCAGTTTCTTGTCCCAGTTACAGACATGCTAGAAGCAAAAACAGGTATTAGACATAAGCTGGGCTCTAGCAACATCCTTGTTCACCTTGTATCCGAGGAGGAAGAGGGTACTACAAGCTGAGAGGAGTGACTAAAGAACCCTAGGTAGGGGAGAACATTTAGCTTGGACACATGGAACTAGTATATACCTTGATATCCTCAGGGATGGTGTGGTAATCCCTGCTGCTAGCATTCATCCTGTAGATCTTCCTGCTGTCCACATGTTTCAGGAGGAGCTGACAGAGCAGGTCAGAGGCACTGTTGGAGGGGGCGCAGGCAAGCACGTGGGAACCCTCAACATGCTTTAGTACCTGAGTAGAATAGGGAAATAATACTGGGGGACTGGTGACCAGCCAAAGAAAACACTTCCAGGCTTATAAGGAACGGTAGCATTCAGAGGGCTCAAGAGTTACCCTGAGACTGGTCCAGACTTACAGGATGCAAGATGGGGATGATAACAAACCAGTTAGGTGAGTATCCTGGTTCCATCATTTCAATACTCTTAATCAAGTCTATTTCTCTCCCGCATTTAATAGTACAGTGGTACCTCGGGTTAGGGACGCGGGTGGCGCTGTGGGTAAAACCACAGTGCATAGGACTTGCCGATCGTATGGTCGGCGGTTTGAATCCCCGTGGCGGGGTAAGCTCCCGTCTTCGGTCCCAGCTCCTGCCCACCTAGCAGTTTGAAAGCACCCTTAAAAGTGCAAGTAGATAAACAGGTACCACTTTATAGCGGGAAGGTAAACGGTGTTCCGCGTGCTGCGCTGGTGCAGGCCCGCCAGAGCAGCAATGTCACACTGGCCACGTGACCCAGAAGTGTCTGCGGACGGCGCCGGCTCCCGGCCTCTAGAGTGAGATGAGCGCACAACCCTAGAGTCTGGCAAGACTGGCCTTCGGGCAGGGGTACCTTTACCTTTTACCTCGGGTTAAGTACTTAATTCGTTCCGGAGGTCCATTCTTAACCTGAAACTGTTCTTAACTTGAAGCACCACTTTAGTTAATGGGGCCTCCTGCTGCTGCCATGCTGCCGGAGCATGATTTCTGTTCTCATCCTGAAGGAAAGTTCTTAACCCAAGGTACTATTTCTGGGTTAGCGGAGTCTGTAACCTGAAGCATCTGTAACCCGAGGTACCACTGTATACTCAATGATAATTTAATCCATATGTGTCAAACACAAGGCCCGCAGGCCGAATCCGGCCCGCCAGACCTCGTCATGTGGCCCGTGTAGTCTGGTCTATATATATCTGTGAGGGAAGCTTGGGCTGTGGCATGCGCGCAGGGCGCCTCGGGTCCCTTCTGCGCAGGCGCAGGCCTCCCCCTCCTCCAGCTACCTAGCCGAGACTTATTTGACACGGCGAGGGTGGGGTTGGATATGGGAGGCCGCCGCTGCTGCTCTCAACTTCTTTTCGGGCTCACCGGGGTGAAATAAGTCCCGGGGGGAGCGCAGCGCACCTGCGCGAGGTGGAACGCGGAGAAGGGCAGAGCCAGCTTCGCGCGTGTTGGAGAGAGGGAGACCGAGAGCGCGCTTGTGTTTTGGGAGCGCGCCCTGTGAATACTCAGGGCGGCGTGCTTTTGCTTTGCTTTTCTTTATTTATTTCTTTAGGCGCGTTTCCGCGCTGCCCAATGAACAGCATCCTGCGCCTCTGGGGATTCGTGATTCAAAAGCAAATTAGATACGCAAGTGCATGTTTTGTAAATAACATCAGGCGCGGCTTCCGCAGGGTGCGCGTTGCAAAAATTTATATATGGGAAAAAAAGCTGATAAGGAATTGGTTTATTTTTTAGGGTATTTACACATCATGCAATTTTTTCCTCAATGTTATTACAGGGTCCGGCCATCAGTTCCCGCCCTCCTCAAAGGTTTAGGGTAGGTAGCAAAGGGGAAAAAATCCAAACAAATGCTCGATTAAAATTTGGGGAATGAGAAAAATTAAAACCTGCACATCTTGTGTAACTTAAACACCAAGCCAAACAGGAAACAATTTTTATATTCATATATGTATTCAAATGAAATCAAGGTGTAGTGTTCCATGAGCCAGAAGCTCTGCATTACTTAATCCAGCTGTTAAAGGTGTCATGGGCTTTGAAGACACTCGAACTCGAACCAGCCCTTTGAGGGTGGCCAAACTGCTGATGCGGCCCCCGATGAATTTGAGTTTGACACCCCTGATCTAATCACAGTGATCAAGTTCTCTCCTCACCTGCTTAATGGCTTCCACCATAGTGACTGTCTTGCCCGTACCTGGTGGCCCAAATATAAGGTACGGGGCTGGTCTGGAGATGCCTGCTACCACCTGATGGACAGCTTTCACCTGCTCTTGGTTGCTCTCCAGATTCCGGTCATGTAATCTGAAAGGTGGGAAGAGTGAGTGAGAAAGAAGAAGAGGTACCAAAGAGAAAGTAAAATGGCACGTTCATACCACATACTCATATGAACCCTCAGCTCTAAGACCTCCATACAGTTAGGGCATTTCCATGGCAGAAAGGGACCTTTGTCCACTTCCAATCTCTCCCTGCTTCCTTTCCATACACTCACCTGAGCAGCTGACCGGCAGTGAGTAGAGAATGTCCCAGTGAGAAAGTTGGGAATAGCAGGTTCTGAAGTTTCCTCTCTTGGGCAAGGTCAACGGCACGATGCTGGACTCGTAACGGCAGACGACAGAAGGTGAAGTTCACATCAAACTTCATTTTATTGATGAAGCGAGATGTCAACCTGGGAAAAGGAAAGGGTGCTGAATAAATTACCAACAAGCTCTGGGCATCGCTGATCTCAGGTCACTCTTGCAGGATACCAATTTCCACCAACCTTTCTAGCTCCAACTTGCATACCCTACCCCCACACAATACCACCTGCTGAATCCATCAGCTTGAGAGCCACCTGCTGCCAATTCAGGCCAATCATAAAGTCAAACTATCCAACTACACTGCTTCTCTTTCCCTTTCAACTACTTCCATTTCCCCCTTAACCTTCAGGGCAATCCCACCCCCAACCCGCTTCAGCCATTCTTCAAAAGGCCACAGACCAAAACTGCTCCACTTCATCTGCTGGTCCCACCTGACCTGCTGGAACTAATTAATTTGCTTTCCAATACTGTCTACCAACCTCCTGGACTTTGCTTCCCCTTCTTTCTTTTGCCTGCCTACAATATTGCATCTCTTGAGTTTTGTCCATCTGATGGTGTCTCTAGCAAGTGAAAATCTAGGTTTGACAGCTCCTGACTCAAAGGATATCCCTTTGCTTTTAACGGCCAAGTGATGAAGAAAGGCAGAGCAGGTTCTGCAATGTTGTGAATTACATCTGCTACATGTCCACAAACACAAAATTACAAGTAACCACACCTGAGTTGGAAATCTTAATTCCATTTTCAATGGAAGGAGGTCTAAACAAAGCCTCAGGCTGGAGGACTCACCTTTCAGAGAAGCCCAGCTTGAGTTTATCCCATTCCACAGCATGGACATAGCCCTTGTATTGGACAATCGGGTGCCGATTGCGCTCTTCAGCCAATGTTACTAAAATATGATCACCTCTCAGGACTGATGGGCGGTTCTCGGCCACACCAGGTGCCTAGAGCAGAAAACAGAACCCAGTCTGAGAGGAAACCATGCCCTTTTAACTTCATGCTCCCAATAACTACCTGAAGAGGGGAAGGCGGCATCTTGCACACAATCTGGTCCTTTCCATTGGTGCCTCCTCAGCTGACTTCTACATTGACTTGCTTGCCCCCTTCCTGCTCTCCAACTGGTTCACCTCTACCACTCTCTTCACTGCTCAGCACTGAATTGGCATGTTCCTCCTCAGCACCAAAGGAAAGGGGCACCATGAAGTCCTTGAGATCTCCTCTCACCTCCCCAGGTACTGGAAACAGCTGAGGAGTGCACATTAGGGTATTCCTCAGCTCCTCCTAGTGTCCATCAGCGGAGAGGCGCTGGGATCTTAATGTGCTGGGAGGGGGAAGGTTGTGTGTTTTAGTGTGGATGGTAGGAGAGAGGAGCCCAGGCCTGCCAGCAAGTGCCCCAACCCACACTACATGCAACCCAAAGCCCAATCCACATCCCTGATCTAACTGCTACATATGATTCACACAATATGAGAAACTCTCTTCTCTAAGAGAACTCTTTGTCTGCTGCTTACCGTCAGGACAAGAAACGGACTATTCTTGTCTGCTTCCATGCAAACATCGGACTGATCGTATCGATGAATGTCCACCTCCATCTGGATCTCCTCTAAGTAAAGGAGCAGATGAAACTTCTTACTGTAGTTGTCAAACTGCAAGGCAGCTTTCAGGTCGCTCCTATGGAAATGAATCATAGTATCAAATCAAATTTAACCTTCTCAATTCATGAAGTTGGAAGGAACCTCACCGGTTACCTGCTCCAACTTCCTGTCAATACAGGAAATCGACTACTGCAGCAGCATCCCAAACCAGGAAATGCTCTGAACTCCCAACAGGTAGCCATCCAACTTCTGCTTATAAACCTCTAAGGAAGGTGAGTCCACCACCTTCCAAGGGAGTTTGTTCCACTGTTTAACAGTTTGTAAAAATATAGCAATATGCGCTTAATAAGGGAAGAAACATTGGAGGAGGGGAGCGGTCTTACCGGAGCTGTGCAATCTTCTCATGGGTGCCATCTTTGGGTGCGTCACCTTTATTCATGCATTCTACCTGATACTTCAGGTCTCGTGGGTAGTTGTAGTGCTGCAGAGGTATGTTTTGCTTAAGGTCATAGTTCAAAGTGCTAGAGGGGTAAAAAGCAGTACAAGGTTTTATTTATTAATGTCATGTGTAACAGGACAACCCCCAGTTGTAGCAATGCTAACTCCCGTATAGCATGTAACCTGTCAATCTTAGCAGCAAGCAAACAATTCCACTTACCACCTAGCAATACTTCACTTTCTCTCACAGGAGAATTAATTCAACGATACAAAATCAAAGGGCGTGGCACTCTCACCCTCTGGTGACCCACCACCTCCCTTTGGTGTTGACCCTCATATGTTTGGCCTTCTGTCCTGCAGAAGCCCTCTTATCTAGTCTGTGGGCTGGGAGGCAAGTCAATTAATTGCATCCGTTTGCACTTGTCTACTCCTCAGAAGTCTTCTGACTGCTAGAGCAACCAGTAAGTACATGTGTGCAGCTGCAGTGCTTGTGGCATGAGCAGCGGCTGTGACAGCTTCCTCAATTTGCAGATGTGCTCATAGGCCCCCAAAGGTTGCTGATTCCTGGTATAGAATGTTAGGTTCTGCACAGTCTCCCTGTAGGCAGTCTGCATCCTTTACTTGCAAGTTCAACAATGCCCCACAAATTCCCAGAATGGGCAATTGCAAGGAAGATCCAGGAACCTCTCAAAGCTCTACATGGATGGCCAAATTCACAGAAGCATGTCAACCTCTTGATGATTACACCAAGTGGTTCCTAGCATTTGTGGAACAATAACCATAGATCAAACACTATAGACAGTGCTTTGATATGCAGTGATGCAGATAATTGGATGTGAGGTGGTATATTTACAAGCAGCAGCTCCTTTGACTCCCTCCCGTTGTAGGAAAAGCCTGGAATATGGACAATGCCATCAACCGACAGAAACTAGAAGAGATAGCCATAAAAATTTATCTGTATTATAATTGTACCTTTCTGTGCATTTTCGTTGTAAGCTGCTTTGACAGCAAATATTGGTAAAAAAAAATGTATCAATACACAAGTTAAAATTTCACCTGACATTTCAGACACAATATTATCCCTTTCTGTGGATGCCATTCACATGTTTGAGCCTCACTGGATGAGAAGTGGCTGAGGCAGAGCTTTCCAAACTGTGTGTTGCAGCACATTAATGTGTTGGCTGCAGTGTGTAGGTGTGTCACGTGAACACTCCCCGCACTCCTCCCGGGGCTGGAAAGAAGTTAGTTTAACCTCTGGTTTGCTAGTAAAACTGAATTACTGTATCATGAATGATGCATGTCTAAAAATTGTGTCACCAAGGTAAAAAGTTTGGAAAGCTCTGAGCTAAGGTGTATATACACATGCATGAATCAATCCCCCACCTAGGTAGTTCATGAATGACTTATCACAAGGAAGATTTAAGAGGAAGAATGAGTTGAAGACTTCGGAATGCTTATGGAAGGACATAAACAAACAAGAGTTCTAACTCTATCTGAAGTCCAGTTCCACCCAACAGCTCAGATGTTGCCTATTACAGTCATACTTTGGCTCCTGAATGCCTTGGTACTCATACGTTTTGGCTCCCAAACCCGGAAGTGAGTGTTCTGGTTTGTGAACGTTCTCTGGAACCCAAACGTCTGATGCGGCTTCCGACTGGCTGCAGGAGCTTCCTGTAGCCAATCAAAAGCTGCACTTTGGTTTCCAAGTGTTTTGGAAGTCGGACAGACTTCCGGAACGGATTCTGTTCGACTGCCAGTGTATTTATTTAGCACTGATATAAAGCTAGGTGCTATACAGCGTCAAGGTGAGAGTTTTAAGTATCTACATCAGCTGGGAAAGACATCAGAAAGGAAAACACTTAAGAGACTGAGTAATTCAAAGTAGGAAGGAAGGAAGGAGTGTTAGATGGCAGGAGAAAAACAGCTAGGAGACAGCAAGACTGGTTAAGGACAGAGTTCTTAAATTGTATAAATTTGAGAAGTGGTTTGACAAAGGAAGCAAGCAAGAGAGAACACAACACTAACAGAGAATCCCCACATACTTTTTTGGTGCAATGCCTTCCACTATCTCAACTTCCTGTGGCTTGTGCAGTTTGGCTTGGTATGGCTTGTAAGGTGCTGAGGGAGCCAGCTGTTCTTCTAATTTACTGTGAGCAACAGCAGACATGAAACGTCCAATGATGAAGCGTCCAGTCTGCGCACTATCAAAATCAAACATCATGGTGACAGGAAAGTATCCGTAGTCCTTTGTCTGACAGCGCACTCGGATCTCATACGTTTCTCCTGAAAGTAATAAAGCCTCTTAACAATACAAGCTACGAGGTGGGAGGAGGGTGCCTGTTTCTCAGTCTTTCTAGTGTAATTCCTAACAACAATATCTGAAATCAGGGGACTGAGATATATGCCCCTCCAGAATATGTAATGCAATTTATTAACTGTTAACAGATCATCTGGTTTTAAAATGTATCAAGTAAACAGAAAATGTTAATGGTTTGTGGTAACTTATTTTATATTTCATCTAGCAGAATATAAAATATTTGCTTCTTTTACACACACAAAACATGCTAGGAATATTTTTTTTGTGCTTTTATGTGTCATGTTAAAGGTAGTGATGGGAAACAATTTAAAATTTATTTTTTATTTTTAATTCTGGAGGAGGATGAGGGGCAGCCAATAGGGTTTCTCCACATAGTTTTGATCAGATTTTCCCTTTCACTACCATGGTGGTTTCAATTCCATGAGACTGAGGGAAAAAATGTTTCCAAAAAAGAGCAAGACCATTTTTGTTTTCCCCACCAATTTTTAAAAAGCACCTCCCCACGAACTTTTAAAAGTGCACAGCAAAAACCTTCAACCTATTTGGCTACAATTTGGCAGGATTCTTACCTAGGGATACCTCTCATATCTGTTAATTTTCATAACAACTCCCCAAATAATGTTAGGAGGGAGTAACTCTTCCAAACAGTAAAGGCTGCCCTTATCCTTCTGTAATTTGGCAGGATTCATCCCCTCAGGAGGGAGAAAAATATATAAATTTTAAAATATGCCCAGCACAAAAGCCCCATAATCTATATCTCTATTATCTGGTAGGCTTTATCCACTCAGAAGGGTTACTATGCCTGCAAATTTCATCCACTTCTGTCAAAAGGTAAAAAAAAGGGTGAAATCCATATAGTGAAAAGGGGAAAGAATTAAGCTTAGTTTTTCTGAAGTAGATTCTGCCTTGGACCCCAAGCCAAACCACAGACCGCGGCAAACTGAATCAGGGTCTAACTCAATCTGACCCTCAATTCATTTTCAATGACATTTCAGACACTGCCCCACACCCACCAGCACCCATTTAGTGACATACTCTCAAATTTCCAAGAAAATATATATCAACAACAATACTGTTAATATATATCAATGACAATACTGTTAATATATATCAATGGGAATACCGGATTTCTAGTAAAATAATAAATATAAAAAGGATATAAAAGGCTTATGATATATTTTTTGTGCTAGACAAGTCCTTTCACAGTCCTTTCAGTTTGGGTGAGAAGTTGCTTGAATAATTTGTAAGTTGGTTGTCTCTGCACTGGCACAAGTTTCCCTTGGAGGCTCACTAAAGCCCAAGTTTGAGCATATTTCACATGAATGGAAACACTTTTTGAGCTGACTTTTGGGGTTTTAAGGAGTTTCAACAATATTTTTGCAACTATTTAATGGGACGGTAGTGTGATATTTTACATATCTCATGGTTACCCAATTTAATCCCCTTCAATGGGTTAACCAATACATTTCAACAAATAAGCACATGTTACCTGGCTGTAATTTCACAGGTGGCTGTTTATAAGTAAAGATAAATTCACGACGTCCACGTAGTTTTCTGAAACTCGACAGCGTCACTTCATTTTCTCCATTATTTTGTACCTCTATTACAATATTCTTTACTTCATTTGGAGACACATGCAAACTGATTTTACCATTCTCCCCATCACAACTCGAAACAATGTCCACTCCATGCTTCTTGGAGACCAATTCGGCTCTAGGGAATTGAAACAGCAGAGTAACAAGTTCCTAAAATATTCTATCCTATATATACATCTGCAATTGCTCCGAGATAATGCCCCATGTTCTGATGTGGAGTTATTCAGAGGGTATCAATGATATTCTAACATTATTGTACAGCAGGAAGTAGATATAATGACCCAGCATCAAAAAGAGGAACTGAACACATTACAGCAACACTTTTTAATGCCAACTAAATCTGCACTCAGCCCTGAAGCTCACTGAGTGACCTCAGGCCAGTCACTGGCTCTCAGCCTTAGCTACCCTCACAAGATTGTTGTGAGGACAAAATGGGGAAGAGCACTATGTATGCCACCTTGAGCTCCTTGCGGGAAGAGTGGGATAAAAATATAATAAACAAACAAACAAACAAATAGCAGCAGATAGTCTGACATCACTTATCCATGCCAAAGTTTTCTCCAGGTTAGACTATGGTAGTGTGTTGTGCATGTCTCTGAAGGCTGCTCGAAAGTACAGTTACTAATCTAACAACTTCATCCAGCACTAAGTGGGACTGGATATTATTATCATATTTTGCTTCTACAGCACAGTGGATCCAATTTGAAGTACTGAGTGATTATTGGCTTTTTACATTCAAAGGCCTTGGAAGTTTAGGACCAGGATACTTGTGAAGGCCCTTCTGTCTTCATAAGACCTTCAGCTGAGGAGCCCCTGGGAATGCCCCTGCTATTGGCAATGTGACTGGCTTCTTGAGAATCTTGGATTTAAAATGTTGCTTTCAAATTTTATTTTCTTGCAAGACCGTATTGAGCTCCCTGCTCTGCCCAGCTTTTGTGAGAGTTAAGTTAAAGACCAGAATTTTTTTCCACATCCCCAAGGCTGCATGTATACTATGACACACATACACAAATCCAAATTCCGTGCAAATATAAATAACTTAAAGGTAAAGGGACCCCTGACCATTAGGTCCAGTCGTGACTGGCTCTGGGGTTGCGGCGCTCATCTCGCTTTATTGGCCGAGGGAGCCAGCGTACAGCTTCCGGGTCATGTGGCCAGCATGACTAAGCCGCTTCTGGCGAACCAGAGCAGTGCACGGAAATGCCGTTTACCTTCCTGCCAGAGCGGTACCTATTTATCTACTTGTACTTTGACGTGCTTTCGAACTGCTAGGTGGGCAGGAGCAGGGACCGAGCAACAGGAGCTCAGCCTGTCGCGGGGATTCGAACCACTGACCTTCTGATCAGCAAGTCCTAGGCTTTGTGGTTTAACCCATAGCGCCACCCGCGTCCCTATAAATCAGTGTTTCCCAACCTTGTGCCTCCAGATGTTTTTGGCCTACAACTCCCATCATCCCTGACTAGCAAGACCAGTGGCAAGGGATGATGGGAATTGTAGGCCAAAAACAGCTGGAGGCACAAGGTTGGGAAACACTGCTATAAATAACTTACCCTGCAATATGTAAATTAAGGACATTTGCATTTCCCATAATTTATTGCACTTGCTTTAGCCTTAAGCAAGGAATAAGGGGCTAGATGGCTTCTGATTATCTACCCCTAGTGAGCTAGTCAGAGTGAGCTCACAGTTTATGTTTTCAAGTTTATTTCGACAGCAAAGAGGGCCGAAAACCTTTTCTTAAATGAAGATGAAGATTCCAAAGTTTCTGAAAACAAGGGCCAACCCCAGCCCGATTTTCAGTTATGTGGTAGGACTGGGGACTCGGGAATGCAAAGACCTATCTCTGAAATGCAGAGTACTAGAAAGTTGTGCTCACACACAATCCCAGTCTTTTAAGTCTTCATCATTTCCTTCGTTACCTGTCCTTAGCACGTGACCTGCGAGGAGGTGGGGCAGCACCTGGGCTTTGGTCCTGGTCAGGCTGATCTCCAGCATCATAGCTTGGTCTCCAGTACTGATCAGTAAACTTTACTTTTTTCTTTACCTACACAAGGGGAACAAAGTGTAGTGACCATGAACAACTGGAAGACTCTGAGAATAAAGTTCATAGCAGGAAGCAGGGAGTTCATAATGGGTCATACTTTGGATTCAATACAATCCAACTTCAGAAGGAGCCTCCTCAAAGTGCCCCACCATTGGGGGATATTTTCAGTAGAACCCATCTCTACATACAGTGGTGCCCCGCAAGACAATGCCTCGCAAGACGAAAAACTCGCTAGACGAAAGGGTTTCCCGTTTTTCGAGCTGCTTCACAAGACGAATTTCCCTATGGGCTTGCTTCGCAAGACGAAAAAATTCTGGGTTTGAATTTCTGTGTGGTGGGTGGCTGGGGGAACAGTTGGGGAGGGGTTTGCAAGAATCTGGAAGCTTGTGTGTGTGTTTTTTCTGCATTTTTATGATTTTCTGTGACCATTGGGCCACTCTGCTGTTTTTTTAAAAAAAAATTCTGGATTTGAATTTCTGTGTGCTAGGTGACTGGAGGAACAGTTGGGGAGGGGTTTGCAACAGTTGGGGAGGGGCTGGGGGAGCTTTTCAGGCAATGCTTCGAGGTGACTGATTGCACCACCATCACCCTGCGGGAATTTTGGAAGGACCACTTTGACATCGTCACCTGCTTGAAGATGATCACCACGGCCTGGAACGGGATCAGCCAGAGAAATTTGAATTGCGCTTGGCGCAGCCTGTGGCCGGACTGTGTGGCACCAAGTGACTCTGATGCACCAGAGTCAACAGTGGTGCAGGACATTGTTGCCTTGGGGAGGACCATGGGCCTGGAGGTCACAGAGGAGGACATCAGCGAGCTGGTGGAGGAGCACGACCATGAGCTGACCACCCAGGAGCTGGTCGAACTGCAGGCAGAGGCTGAGCAGGAGCAGGCCTCGCTAGAACAGGAGGAAGCAACTGAGGAACGGCTGTCCTCCAAAGAACTGAGGGACATTTGCCTGAAGTGGAAGGATGTGCAGGCTTTTGCACAGCGGCACCACCCTGACAAGCACGTGGCACATGACCTTGTGAACACTTTTGATACGAGGGTCATGTTGCCTTTCAGGGAGGTGCTGAAAAGGCGGATGAAGCAGCAGACCATGGACAGGTTCTTCAGCAAGAAGCAAAGAGTGGAAGAGGAACCTTCTTTGAGTTGTCCCCCAGAGTCTTAGAAAATGTACTGTACACTTTGTTGATTTTTAAATGTTTTTCTGTCATGTTTAGAAACTTAATTTATTGTTCCTTCAATTTTTGAAATGCTCTTTACAGTATGTGTGACTTTAAAGAGCACTTAATAAACTCTTGTTGTACCAAATTTGGCTTTGTTTGGACTTTTTTTGACCATAGGAACGCATTAATTGATTTTCAATGCATTCCTATGGGAAACCGTGCTTCGCAAGACGAAAAATTCGCTAGACGAAAAAACTCGCGGAACGAATTAATTTCGTCTTGCGAGGCACCACTGTACTAGAGGGAAACTTATGTTCAGGGCTGCGTATCCTCTCTGGTTTAAAACAAACAAGAACAAATCCAAGACTTTTGCAGCAAGATTAACTCTGATTCCATGTCAAATAATCTAAGTGCAGCTACTTGTATAAATTACTGATTTGCATATATTTTCTTTGTTCTGCTTTTGGCAGCTTCTTGCTCAATGGAAAAGAGTTTAGCACAGCAATTAAGGGAGAAGCAGACTCAAGAATGGAAAAAGTTGTTGGGCCAGCCAGCCTCTGTCCTGTATAGAAGGAATTGCCGGATGCCAAGTGAGAACAACAGTGCATTCGACTCAGCCCTGTCTACACTATTTGGTAGCTGCTTCCTGGAGTCTCAAGTGGAGGCTCTTTCCAAGTAACAGCCTTGAAATGTGTCAATGGCAGGTGCCAGTAAATTAACTGCATGAATTCTGTGTTCCTTTAGTTTTTGTGGGCTTGTGGCTTCTGAGGCTTCCCTCTCACAGAAAATCTGGGTACAAGGGTGGCTTGGTTTCTTCCTTCCCAAGAATGCAAAACGGAACCATAATTTTTTGACATGGTACAGTCAAACAAGTTGAATTTGCTGTCTAAAGAGCTGAAATGGATGAATTAATAATATATGGGGACACCACTGTTATTGTTCAAGTAAACTGAGAAAGATTTACATTTTAAAAAATGTGTAAAGCAAAAGAGAGTGGGAGAGGGTAGACCCTAAAGATATACAGTACTGGGGGCCTCCATACCACCTCCCACTTTAACAGGCCTCAAGAGACATGTTTCAGTCTCCCTCAGGCCTAGTAGCTGCTCAACACAATGTATCAGATGAGGAGTCAAAAATCAATTAGATAATCATCTCTCACCCTTCCAAACATCACAGAGTCCCGATGGAACCCAGCAAGGCCAAAGCGCCAGAGTGCATAGAGAACAGCCGAGAAGTTAGGTCCTCTAACATCCTCTCTGCCAAAACAAGAAACAGAAAGAAGACCATTATTCAACAAAGGAAGCTAAACTGAGCAGGACTATTCTGATGGATTAACATCTAATTCACTACACATAGGGACTCCCCTTTTCCAATACCGTTGATAGAAGGGATTTTTTTCCTAGTAAGTTCTTGCATCACTGCAGCAGGAAAAACTACAAATCTTCTGCCTTCATTGTATTTTAAAGGCACAAGAGCCTTGCCTTGCCCTGAATGTGCAGGCAGTCACAAATCTGCTGGCCAAATACATCTGCTGTGTATTTATGCGTGAAACTGTTTGTCTTTCAGGGTTCATCCAACTGCTTTTTGTCCCCTTTTAAAGTTCCTCTTAATAAAGTTCCTTTGTTATCAAAGCAGAGAGAGTACTGTGGTAAACTAAAAGCCCAGCTAATTTTTTGTAGAATAAGCTTTTGTGAACTTTCCTGATGAAGGGGACTCTAATCCACAATTAATGGGATCATAAATATGTTCATCTTTAAAGGTACCACAGCTCAATTGTTGCAGAAATCATTGTGCAATTGTTGAGTTTCTGTGCAACTTCTGAGTACCATATTTGGCTTATTTTCTGAATCTGTTTATTTATAATGTTTGGTTGAGAAGCTTATACATTAAAAGCATGACATTCAAATCAATGAACAAAAACCACAAATTGGTAAACAGCATATGCATCTTGGTATACAGTATATATTTTCTGGGATGAGTGTCTACATATACCTGGTTAAACTACTTTCTGCTCTCCATTAGGATTTCAATAACAACTTAAAAGTTTGTAGCAGCAGCTTGGGCAGTTTTCATATAAACTGAGGGTAGAAGAGAACCGTTATTGTTTTGTTTACTCATCTCCTTTGCCTCATGTCCTACTTGTAAATTTAGACAATTGTGTCTTATATACTTGGGACTTCCTGGGAAAGAAAGACAGGATTAACCAACTGTTCTAGAATGCCGATTTTGTTGTACTGTTACATATTAGATAATTAAAAAGTTAGGATTTCTTTTTTAAAAGACAGGGTGGGAAGAGAGGAGTTAACAGGCCTAGAGAACATGAACCAGACAATTCAGGCAAATATTCAGAAATGTAAGAGTCGCTTCCCAGGCTCCTCAGAATAAAAACCTGGGAAAGTTCAATGTGACTTTTCCCTCTCCTTGTTTACTGAGCCTAGACAGAACTCCCTTGCAAATGACCTTGAAAAACGAGCCTTTTCCTATCAGACAAATTCCAAAGGAGCAGCCAAAACAAAAAAGCAATCTTGTGCCATTATGTGCTTTCTTTACTGTGCTGTGACTCCCTACCCCCCACACTTTTTTTAACATGCCAGGAATCTGAACTTAGCTACTCACTGAAAATCCTGTGCATACAAGTCTTGCCAGGAGCTAACCAAAGTACAGTCATACCTCGGGTTTCAGATGCTTCAGGTTGCATTTTTTCAGGTTACAGACCGCCGAAACCCGGAAGTACCGGAACAGGTTACTTCTGGGTTTTGGTGGACGCACATGCGCAGAAGCGCTGAATCACAACCCGTGCGTGCGCAGATGCGGGTTGCGAATGTGCATCCTGCACAGATCATGTTCGCAACCCGAGTGCCCACTGTATTTCTTTGAAGTGTATTTCATTTGGCACAGAACAGTTCAGGTAAATTAGGAGAAGCTGCTTCAAGCCATTAAAATATATGGGGAAGGCTAGCTCAGTGGCTGTCAGGGCTGTCTGAAGCATATGCGTCGCTGGGGTGCAAAGATCCACCTGGCACACCCCCCCAGTCCCAGGCGCGCAGGAGGGCAGAGCTGTCTGCCCGCCTCAGCGTCTTGCTGGCTCAGTTGCCCCCAAACTTGTGGCGCAGAGCCTCCCGCAGCAGAAGAGCCTGCCGCGGCGCTCCATCCAATGGGCGGGCTCTTCCCCGGACTCAACTCTCGGACCCCAGACTCTCAGCCTGGCGCCCCTGAGAGCCCGGCACCCCACACCCCTAGCGCCTATGGGTAAGGCAGCCCTGGTAGCTGTAGTCTTCAACCTGAGCAGTACAGTATGGGAAAATTTTGTTGTTGTTTCTTACAAGCTCCGCTTCCCACGCTGCACCAGCAGCCCTGAATTTGAGTGCTAAAGTGCCTGTAACACTGATGTGGGAAGGGGGGAGATTTCAGGTCTTGATGAGCCAGCTTGTCCCCAACTTGAGTGAAAGAGTGCAGGGAGGGAAGATTAATATGCACTCTGTATTCAAAAGTGAGGTGCAGGTTGTGCAGATAGCAAGCAAGCAAGCAAGCAAGCAAGCAAGCAAGCAATAAATAAAAATAAATAAAGATTATTTCTACCCCAGCCACTCTAGGTGGCTTTCAACAGAACATTCAAAACAGAGTAAAACTTCAAATATTAAAAACTTCCCTAAACAGGGCTACCTTCAGATGTCTTCTAAAAGCCAGATAGTTGTTTACGGTATTTCCTTGACATCAGAAAGCTACAGACGAGAAATATTTCTGGGTTAGCCCACGAAATAGAGCAAGGAACTCCTTGCAGAGCATCTCCTCCATGTACTGCCTGGGAAAGCTCTTGGGAGGAAGAAAAAATTGCCCTCACACCTTTCCACTGTGAGCATACAATAAACAGAACAAACAATAAACTGTTTGCTAAGCAGCAGCTTGGTTCCTTGTTGTTACCTGATATTTTCATGCTGCTCTCTTCAATCAGGTTAACTGACAGGTTTCTCTGTCCTCTCTTCAGGGTAAAATGGCTTTTCGCTAGCCCGTGATGGCAGTTTGGGGATTAAAAGGCTACCTCAGCTGGAGGTAGTGAGCAGGCTGTCTAGCTTTTCTCTTCTTACCTTAGAACTAGGTTGTTGCTCAGGAGATTTACTTTCCATTTTTCTAATGTTCTGCTTATAGGGGAGGATTTTGCGCATACACAATGCTCAATGTAAGTCGTCCAATCCCCATCCCCCCATGAAGAGCCCTCCAAACATACAGAAACACCTATCTTGTCTGTGGATACCCCACTCCTTTTCATTTCCACATTGCTGAAAAGGAGAAGGGAGGTCACAGTAACATTGCTGTCCTAGGCCCAGTTACCTCAGACTAGAATGGTCACATACTTTTAGCAGCTTAAACCTTGACCATTTATAACAGCCTTCCTACCAGTAAGACAAACAATGTTATTTGCACAGATAGGGTTCTGTTCTGAGGAACACTAATCATTAATCTTTTTAAGGCATGGCACAGCTTGGTCCCTTTTGCTCTTTTCCTACAATAAATTCCACCTTCTAGAAATTACAACATCTGAAAGTGACCCTTTGGTTCTCCTCCAACAAGTTCTCCAATTTCCAAACCAAACTCTAATTCTCCAGCCACATTCTTGTGCTCCCAGATTCTTAAAAACACCCTCTCAGGGGATGCCTACACTATCTTTTAAAACATTCTTCTCATTCCATTTCCCCCCCCCAAAAATTACAAATGTGAGCGCAGTAGAGAAATTCCTTTCCAACATCCAAAATGGTCATTTAAGAAAATCGTCCCAAAGAGGGGAAATTGCTTTTTTTAAAGCAGTTGTCAGCCTATGAGCAATAGTCCACTTCTATCTGATGCATATCAACACAACAGTCACTGTAAGGAGCTTCAAAGAGGAAGAAATTGGTTTGTATCCAATGAGCCAAACTATGCAGCTTCCCTATCCCACCTAACTCATCTATAAAATCTTTGAACAATCTTTAGCGTCTTCTGCCTTTTCACCATCCGAGACTGGGCCTCATTGTTACAGTCATTGTTGCCATTTCCACTTCCTATTTTGGTCATTTCCCGATGGCCTATTTATTGAGAATTTACCCCAATTTCTTTGACTAAAGTTTGTGGGGAGGTTAGATGATGCCAATGAATCGGGCTGTTGCATCAGAAAATTGTTAACCCCACACTTTCCAGTGCATTTTCCTGTCACTTTCCTCATTGCAAAATGTCCTGTTTTGGTGGGGTAAGGACTCTGGTCACACGCAAGTGTCAAAGCCTGAATTTGCAAGTACTTTATTGGCTCCCATCCCCAAAAAGTGACTATCTGCAAGTGTCCAATAACTCCACCAGCTAGACTGCACCGCTAAACCACAAATGCACAATTTTCATAGGGAGTCCTGGGTGTTGTCGGGTTTGTTTGAGCACTTGTGCTCATTTCAGTTGCGTAATTTAGAGCCTGAGGTGAACAGAACAAAGCTATGTATTGAGAGCTTTATTTTGGGAATATGGGAAGAATTTATTTTACCCACCTTCCTAACCTCAACCTACCCAACCGTAGCCACGTCAGACCATGAGAATCCTGGGAACTGTCGTTTAAGGTGTTGTGAATTACAGGCCTGGGATGGGCAAACTACAGTTCCCATAGTTCCCTTTTTTATTATTTTGGGTGGGGAAGGGAATGTGCTTTGAAGGTCTGGTACTTTACAGAAAACATGGCTGTAGGCTGCTCTGAACCCACCAGAGAAGGCGATGTTTAAAGATCAACAGGAAAAGCTGGCCGTCCAACTTGCATGTTTCCACCAAACCATTCTAGAACCGGTCTACTTAACCTGGAGGCCAACCCATCCAATCTTCTCCTCGGGGCTCTTCCTTTCCTTCGCCTACTACCCTTCCTCTGAGCACCGTCTGACTCCCTCCCTTCGACCCCACATCCTTGCTCCATTTTTCTTGTGTTTCTCCTCAGACCCTCCTTCTCGAGCGCTAATAGGTAAGGCTGAACAACTGAGAGAAGCCACCCCAGCTTTTTCCCTCCCCTCGAACACGGCGTACACCGACGTGCCCCATTTTGCGCCACGGATGCGCCTTTGCGCTGCGCCGAGAACGCAGCCGCTGCTGCTTGCCAAACTCAAAAAGGAAAGGCGTCGGGGCGCGCGAAGTTCCGCTCCACCGTGGAGACCCAGAGGCGAGTTTGAATGAAGCGAGAGGCGGCGGGGGGGTCCCCACTCTGGGCAAGCCAGGGCTTGCTGCTCAGTAGGGATTCCAACGCTTTCCCCTTCATTCCAAAGCCAGGGAGTCGAGAGGAAAAGCCGAGAGGAAAAGAGATGCTGGCCGCTCCGCCATCCTTGAACCTCTCCCGCCCCCCATCGCTCTCGTCTACTAACCTGTACCGAAACTCCTGATTGTAGATCGCCGTCAGCTCTTTTTTGTTGCTCACTTTTTCCTTGCCAGATTCCTTTAGGAACTGCAGGAACCGCTCTCCGATCTCTTTATTCTCCCTTACGGTGCGTTTAGGCATGGTGGTCGTTTCCTCGCCTCCGCTCCCACCAACAAGCTCCAGCAAATCCGCCTGGCCGGCTTCCCTCCGCCTGTGAAATGATCCAGCCTGCAGCTTATCTGCTTGCAAGACTATCGGCTCTGAACCGGAAGAAACGAAACTGAAAGCTAATGGCCAGGCTGACTCAGGCTCCTCGTCGGCCTGGGAAGGGTGGAGACAAACCAATCGCCTCTTCCCCTGCCAATCCAAGGATTCAGGCTTGCTGATGGTTTTCCTTTTTTTTTATTATCAGTCCACCCATGGGGTGGGGAAAGAAATACGGAAGGGGAGAAAAAGCACAATTCTATAACCTGAGCTCAATGGTCGAACGCTTAGATGTGAAACAGGTGAAGAAATAAGTAAGAACTGTGAACGTGTACAAAATAACTTTTGCTAAGTCTTTAATAACGAGGATTATGACTGTTCCTCTTGTTAGGCAGGCTAAGGCTGCAAACCTCTATTCATTCAGTAGGGCTTGAGTAAGTAAGGGTAGGATTGCACTGCGAAGCAGCAGATTTTAGGTACTATTAAAAGGCACCAAACATTCAGTTATTTTAATATATTTTTCACTGCCGTCAGAGGAGGCAGATTTTAAATTTCTGCCTCAGGTATCAAAATGGCTTGGGGCATTCTCTAATTTGGAGGCAGGAAGTTTGGCTCTCTCAGCAAGCTTTCACCAACTCCCATTTTAGAAATTTATCCATACAATAGCGACTTAGCTCACAGATGGGTGGATTTTCAGATTAAAAGTGCATTACATTGCAATTCTGTGCATTTCTACTCACAAGTAAGCCTCATGTATTTCAATGCAGGGTAAAAGGTAAAGGGACCCCTGACCATTAGGTCCAGTCGTGGCCGACTCTGAGGTTGCGGTGCTCATCTTGCTTTATTGGCCGAGGGAGCCGGCATACAGCTTCCGGGTCATGTGGCCAGCATGACTAAGCCGCTTCTTGGCGAACCAGAGCAGCGCACGAAAACGCCGTTTACCTTCCCACCAGAGCGGTACCTATTTATCTACTTGCACTTTGACGTGCTTTTCAAACTGCTAGGTTGGCAGGAGCAGGGACGAGCAACGGGAAGCTCACCCTGTCGCAGGGATTCGAACCGCCGACCTTCTGATCAGCAAGTCCTAGGCTCTGTGGTTTAACCCACAACACCAGTAAATAGGTGTAGAGTTGCATTTTCATTAAATATGCCCAATAACTCAGGGTGGCCCACAAGTGTTCTCAAAACCAGGTTTAGAACAGACACTAGTAGGTCCAAAGTGTATCTAATGTTGATTCAGTAACCTGAGTCCTTTTAGATGGCTTTGTCAGTTTATGCAGACCCTCCCTTGATAATTAAAAAAGTTTTGTTCCTGTGTCTCAGAGGATGATCAGCAGTAGCTAAACAAATACGTAATCGGACAATTCCTCCTTATCAGCATTTCTCCAAAGTCAAATATCCTTCCAAAATTATCTCCATTGTGATTGAGGCATCCCAATATACTGATACAGACTTTGGCATTTGTTTTAGATCTCAAAACTGCACTGTTTAATCTTAAAAGCAAGACCTGTTAAAAAAAAAAAGTAAGACCTCTTCTAACATACACTCCTATGCCATTTTCCCATTTCTCTCCCCATCCACCATCAGTTAGGAAGCATGAATTTTCTTGATTTCTCAGATGAACTTAAAATCAACTGGATAACAGACTTTTTATTATGTACTTCATTGCAGATTTCTAAACTTATGTGTATGCTATTTTAATCTTAAACTTTATACCTACATTTTTATAATTATCGAAAAGGCTGCATATATGTGAGATGGGCCAATGCAAGATCCATTTTTATATGCATGAGCAAGACCGACTCCATCTTGTGTAGCCATCTCCATCTCAGTTATGCTTGCTAGCATCAAAAGCTTAAGGTGAAGCAAGACCACCTGGATGAATTTTACCCTTATGATTTCTATATAATCATCTATCCATATATATCCATATACAACCATATATCTTTATGATGATTTCTATATATCCATGTATACGAAGGGTGTTTGAATCATGAAGGCTTCTGCAGAGCTAAATGCTTAGATTTTAGAAATCCAAAATGACCTCTGCCCCATTTCTCCCCCCTTGTTCTTCTAATGCACTCAATGGCTCGCAAACATAGTAGGAAGCAATAAATCTGATGTGCTGGCACTGTCCTCCGTCCAGGCAAGCCCCTCAGCACCTAAAAACAGGAAAACGCTAACCACCATGTCCCTGTTTATAACAGATGGTGTGTAGGAGGGTTACCAACATTGTAATGGGCAAATAAGTTTCTTTTCTCCTTTCTTGCTATAAATCAGGGGAAAGGTCAGGCTGATGTACCGTCTGAGGAAAGCAGAAGTTGGGGAGGATTCTTTACATGGTCAGGGGCAAGGTTTATGCATGCGCTCATTGGTTTGATTTTTGCTGCCATATGCGATTATATACGATTATGTCATGTTTTATGATGTACGTACTCAGGTATAAAGCCTTAGGGCGCTAGAGCTTCAGCAGTGCCCAGTCTTTGGAAATCATTCCACTGGGTCATTATTGCTCAGCAATAAAATACCACTTTCTTTTTCTCCATTGCTGCGCCTGTCAATTCTTGGACACAATTTGAGTGGGCCACATGTACTTTAAAAATCCTTGCAACAAAGGAATGAGCCCAGATTGCTGTTGCATGTGTTTCATAATATGGTGTTGAGGAGGTTTGGTGCCCTGCGGGGGGAAACTGTCCACACAGCCCTAATTCTGTAGGATGTGGTTAAGTAGACATATACAGAGAATTTCTGGTGGTTACCTATTGTGGAAATATTATCTCATTTACTTCTATGTATAAAAGGATTTGGAAACCCATCTGAGGTTTTCCAGCTCTGAGCAAGCTATTGCTGTTTGCTTGTCAAGCTGTTACCTTTCTTGCCTGTAGCTTGAAATAAAATCTGATTCTGCCTGTTTGAAAGAAGCACTTCCTGGACTCTCTCATCATTGCTGGGACAAAGTGACTCAGCCATGTCTGAACCTCGGATGTGCTTTCACCCACATCATATGGTCTGTTAACATTTACAGCAAGTAAAATACTCCAGCATTCTAACAATTTCAATTAAATGTGATATTCCTCAGAGGCTCCTGAATCCAAAAGGCAAAATATAAATCTTTTAAGTAACTGACTAAAATACAGGGAAAATAGCCTAGCTTTAGCCCAGAAAACCTTAGAACACCAAGTAGCCCAAACCAAAGACAGTTACTTAAAGGCAGTCTTTAGCAATTTCATTCAAACTAAGTAGACCCAATGAACTATGAAAAGCTGTGGCCAGATCATTATTTTCCAGTGAAGTCTCTTCATTTATCCCATGATTGGTAACAAGATGGTAGCTGGTTGAAAACAGGCATCAGAGAATAATAATTAATGCACATTTTTCATGACAGTTGGAAGTACTATTGTATCAATATTGGCATTGCTATTAATTTAGGCATGAAAGTTTGGGAATCGGGTGAACGTTAAGATAGCCAGTTGCAGTCACCAGATTATTTGAGAAGGTAAAATGCCACGTTGAATTATGTGAAACATTTCTTCAAACTGAATAAAGGGGATGTTCAACCTAAGTGAGAATGGACAGGGTACATGAGCAAGTTGTAGCAATGACACTCCAGAGGTTTTAGATGAAACTGATTATATGGTTCCATTCCAATGTCCCTGTTTATAACAGATGGTGTGTAAAAATACCTGTGCTGAAATTGCTGCTGCATTGGTTGCCAATATGCTACCAGGCCAGGTTTATTGTCTTGCTGTTGGCATATACTGTACTGGCCAGAATAAGTTGGGACCAGGTTACTTCCAGGAATGCCTTACTTTGTATACCACTGCCTTGTCATTTTGATCTTTGGGAGCGTTGCAACTGAAGCAAGACCACCTCCATCTTCGTCATAATTGAAGCAAGACAAATGCCAGCTTGTTGCAGGCTTACAACATAATCATGTATTCACACTGTGATCACGCTGAAATGCAAACTTAAAAGAGGAACAGAGAAAGTGCAAACCATAAGGGTGTGTGTGTAAATTAAAGGTTTAAGAGTGTGCAAGGGCATGACATTTAAAACAAGGGTATAAACAGGAAATACATAGCTAGTGGAAACTTCTGTCTTTGTGGTCAAGCTGGCAGTAAGACTATTTCAGGATGTCTCGAATGTGCAACCTATATGACCATAAAAACTGTTGTGTAAACAGATCAGGGTTCACCCTCTGATTAATTTCCTGATCACTGCTGTAACCTTTCCTGCTCAAGCAAGAAATAAAGGTTTTGCTTTTAGATAATTCTTGGACGTCACTCATCACAGTTAATGAGTAAAGGACTGGGCTGGGCAACTGACCTCAGGTGCGGTTTTCCCACATCAGGATACACATTCTTAGTATAGACTCCTGAGGTTAGTCTTATGTCTGCCAATATCAAAATTGTTAGTCTTGCACTTTTGAATGTGATTCCAATGAAAAACAGGCAGACACCACAGTATTGGTATTTAGGTGCCTGCTTAAAATGTACCTTTTCACCCAGGCTTTTCCCAGAGGGTCATCTTGCTATGTTGATATAGCCATCTGATCTACTGATTCTGATCTACTGATGCATTGTATTTTATTTTATACTGTTCACTGCCATGAACTGTACAGGATTCCTGCTCCCCCTCCTGCAAGCAGTGATGAACAAAAATTAACAAAGGGAAAAAAAGTTTTCAGAAATATACTATGTGGAATGACAGGGCCTAGATTTGTTTTTAGTGACCCAGGATATAAATAATGGGATCTTCGTAGAAAGCTTGCTATAAAGATCCAGCAATAATGATTACCCCTGACAAATACTGCAATCAGAGAAAATGTGTTGGGAATAAAACAAAGGATGGTTGGAGATCTGGTATCAGAATTGGCATTCAGGACTAAATGGCCTTTGGTCCAATTTAGCAAACATTTTCATGTTAGGAACCAATTCCCAGTATCTCCAAAGTTTGTAAGGATTTAAAATCTCAACAAATAGTTAACCAAGCAGTGTTTTCTGAGCATGTCAAAAGACTGGTGACACGAAGAAATGCATTGGTGCAAATCTTTTATTGACCATTTAGACACGTCCATTCATACATCTCTGGTACAAATGCAATGAACTTGCCACAAAGCATTAAAGCACAAGATACCCCA